ACGATGCCGGCGAAACGTATGGAAATAACGAATAATCTGTCGGAGGAGGCACGAAATCCACAAAGTCTCTCTGACGCTCCGACCAAATTGCGAAACTAAATCGAGCCAACACCATAAAGCTGAAGGAGACTTCGATTAAGCATACTGCCACACCATCTTGCTATTCATATTTAACACAGTATATTTTTTGTCGATCTTTCAGCTAGTTGGATGTTTTGAGATTCACAGAAACATAAATACATTCATTTCACAAATACAAGTTATTAATATTGATTAACATGTTTTTTTACTCTGATTTTACGTTTCCTCATTTAATTGTCACTTTTTGAGTTGCTCACTAATTAGCTGAGATTTTCCTGATGTAAGGTGATTTAATTAAGCCAGATAATGATAAACAGAATGGTATAATCATAGCAGCTTTGAGTAATATTCAAGGAGTTTTATCCATACTCTTGCAAATTTGAGGCAATATATAATCATACTCCAAATTAAAGTAAAAGACTTCGAATTATTAAGAATTTAGGATGAAACAAATTTAATGTATGTAGAGTATGTATATTTATCATATATTCCGCAAAAATTTCTTTTTTGTTTAAATGTTGTTTGTTTATTATAGCTTATATTATACTAAACGCCTTATGCTAAGTACCAATGTTCTCTGGAAGAGAGAAGGATTAGTGAATTTCCATAACTTTCATGGACCTTTACACGTGCATTAAATAGCAGTAATAATACACTGTAAAGCAAATAGTGTCAATCCGATATAGGGTTGAAGATAACACTAGAATACATATAAAACTAATTTTTATAGATACGAATATACACCATAGCATACCAGGTAGTGAAATGTAAAAATCTTAATTTTAATTACTTTAATGTATGCTGGCTAATAAAGGCAGTTTAGAAGTACTGAAATATCACATGAGTTATATCCCTCTTATGGTATATTTTGTAGTAGTCGATGGCACTTTCAAGCAACTTTTGCCTAGTGATCTATAAAACTATTAGATTTGCTTTAGTTTCAGGTAAAACCCACCTAACGCGATATAGGTGCATGATGAAGGAAATATGTGGCAGGAACTTATAATAAGATAATTTCCTTCGATGAATTAAAAATATGGTGACGGTGATTCCTCAAAGGCAGATAATCAGGACATGATAGAAACCTTGAAAAAATCCATAATGAACAAACGTTTGGATATGCATGTGTTAACTCATTCCAGCTCGTCCTTAATAAATCTATTAGCCTTATTTTCGGGGGCTCACATCTAGCACAAAATATTTTACTAGACAGAATTTAAAGGTTTACTACCGATATAGGCCACGTGGGTGGTACCTATAGCGTTTTTTCGATGCGTTATCCCTCATTTAGCATATCTTTAACTTTACAAACGCTAACATTGACTAAAAGGACATGTAGATGGTTCAGAAGCTTACGTGCTCTCAAAACAGTGGTTCTAAAACCAACGTCTTCTATGTCTAAGAAAAACTATTTTCCAGTTAGATCGTAGATATAATGACCAAGATAATGTAGCCTTATATTTGATCACAGTCTCCTTTTGCTGTCCTGAATTCTTCCACCAATTAGTTCATTATACATTAGCAAGAAGAAGAGAACGTGATGAGCTTGTGTTAATTTATACTCCCAAATCAGTTTTACTACATCTATCGTGCCAACCATCAAGTATGCAACTATGTCTCAACACAATTTGGAGCATGACTCATTTGAACTATTCACCGCAGTGAATAAATCTATCTATCGTCGTATCTACAATGTAATTCTATCTATCCGCTACATCGAGCATCCCTATTGAACCAATCAGAATATGGCATTAAAAGAACACAAGAGTATTTGATGTCAGAAATCTCTTAGACTACGGACTGGTTTCCACCGCTACCCTTGCGGCATTGTGGCCCTAATAGTGTTCTCTTTCATCGACACTACACTACGACATAATTTTTGCCCTTCCACTCCTAGTCCCCATTAGTAACGTTTCTTGTTCTATACAAGACACTCAGTAACTCGTCTTTGCTTCTCTATACAAG